GAAGAAGAGAGAGAGAGAGAGAAATGAATAATCGATGCGATTAAAACATAAAAGAAAGAATTGCTCTTAAATCAATTTCTTAATTTTAATCGAACCATTAAAATGTTTTTAGTACAATAAATAAATTTAAATCATTTCAAATTCTACAAATATAAAGTTTAAGTAAATATATCTGCAAAATATTTTAAATCCTGTAAGTAATACATTTTAGAAATTTGAATTTTATGAGACGAAAGAATTTCAAGTAAATAAATTTATAAAATATTTTAAATCGTATAGGTAAAGAAGTTTCCACTTGAAATTTCATAAGCGAAACATTTTGAGAATGTATTTTCAATTTCGTATATAAATAAAAAGATATTATGAAAGAAAAATCTTTCTGCAAAAGAAAAATCTTGCTGCGAAAGAAATTTTTGTTTCTTTCAAGGAATTTGAAGTTGAGTTGGGCAATTCGCTAATATGACCGCGTAAATGCGGAAGGATATTTATCTTTCTGTCTTATCGCGTATGTACATAAAGATCGTGGGTGCACAGCGAGCGATGGCACTTTCATCGTCGTATCAGTGCCTCGTAAACTGAGGTAATGATAGGATTAAATCGTACACGCACGCACGCAATATACATAACCGTGACGCAAGCATGATCGCGAGTCCACTGATTATTTCCGTAGTTCGAGCTTTGTCGAACCACTGACCCTTCAAGAGATACGCAGATTACGCGTCAATTACGTTGCTCCCGAAAAATTCGTTTATTTTTATGCCATTGTTATGCGCGTATCCCGGATCGAGAGCGACTCCGAGAGCAATCAGAGCTCAAAGTAATTTAACACATCTGTTTTCTTCTTTACGATTAATTGACGTTAAACAGTACATCGGTCGTACATCGCGATTTTACGCGTGTAAAATTAATAATATTCTTTTCGCAGAACTTCTCAAACGCATTGTATTTTCCGAATGTGAGTCTGAGAGTTGAGCAACACGAGAGTGAGACTGGTTTCTAGTCTTTTGATATAGCTGCGAATCAATATGCCTATCAGAAATTGTTGCACATGGTTAAATAAAATCTGGATGTGCTCAAACAAACCGTATTGATTTATTTCAAAATTCCTGGAGAACGTGACTGTTTCTTATTTGTTCACGTTCTTCGAAGTATTATTCGAGTATTATTATCCTATCTCAATCCTTCAATCCAAATGTTGCTAATTAAAGCACGAAGGTAAGACTCTCTCGCTACCGTCATATTATAGTTATGGTAATTTCCTTGCAACAAATATTCTATTTTTTGTCCTTAAACATAATAATTTCATGATCCAAAAACTTGTAGGATATACGGAAAACTAAAACATCTGTTTGATCATGTAAAAATGTAAAATAATTCCTAAAATAACGAATCATACTTCAATCATGATTAATTGTCACGATTGCTTAAGAATGGCTGACTCGTTATTTTAAAAATTATTTTACAGATTTTCTACAGATCAGATAGATGTTTTACTTTCTCACACAAATTTTACAAGTTTCAGAATCACGAAATTAATGTTTTTAAGAGAAAACTAAAAAAATAAAAGGAGAGGACGCAAAGAAATTGCTGCACGTTATTTCTCGCTTACATCATAAAATCGAGTTAGCTGCTTGAGAGAACTGACCTTTAATATAATTTAATATAATTTAAATGTGAATATTTAATAATTGCAATTTAAATCGCAAATATATCATTAAATATTAAAAGCATTTATCATTCGGTTTCAAAATCATTCATTTATATACCTGGTGACGATCGCGCAGCCATTATATTTTCGTTGCATTTTGATAAGAAAAAGTTGAAATCAAGACTCTCCGGACGTACAAGAGCAAATTCGGATGCTGAAATCACAATTATATAATATAATATAAAAATAATGAACATGTTATTATCCAATTACAAAAAACATCCGATCTTTGCGTTGATTCTTTGTATGCAGAATTTATTTTTTAAAATGACAATAAATATCACAATGTGAATGCGATTTTGTAGCGCCTTTCGTAAGACTAATCTAGTTTGGAAAATAAATTATCGAAAAATATTAACGCTTGATTGATAACGAAATGATATATATCAGAGTTTTTACAAGATTATGTCGATACGGATTTTTTATGTATTGTTTATGTGATGTTTACATCATTTTCATGTAGATAATATAAACATATAATGTAAATTATTATAAATTGGATAATAGAACGCAATACAGAAAAAACTAATTAAAATTATTTAAAATTGTTAATATATTTTAGTATATTAATAAAAATATATAATATTAATGCTTCTGACTAATCATCGCGGTCATATATTGGTTAAATCACGATGTCATAAACGAGAAAAGACATATTGAGATTTCTTGCGTTCTTGTGCAAAAAATAAAGAGATATTTGGATAGAACAACACTTAAGATTGCTTTAAAACACTCGTAAAAATGGATGGAAACAAGAATAAGCAACAAGGAATTTTATTTCTCAAAAAGATAAACGTAACAAACGTGACGTGCTAACAATGAAATTTTGTATTATATGTCATTTCGTTATTATTATGTTCTTAATCGTGTAATCTTATACTAAAATAATTTATGAAAAAATGGATAACAATTAAAGTTATCTTTGAATTTTATATGTAAAAACATATTTTTTACTTCTTTTAACAAACCGTGTCAAACTGTGCGTTTTTCTGCCTGAATAGGATTTATTTCACATATCTTTTATTTTTATTGATTGTCAAGAAAGAAAAAGATAATAGTCGTCCATTTTTATAAGTATTTTCATTTTAAATGTTATTTTATTCAAAATTTTTTATTTAAAAATATAAATTTCACTGTGTCATTTCTCGTTTATTATTTGACGTTATAATATGACCGCGACAATCATAGTCAGAAGTCTTAAAATTAAAAAGTTATAGTAAATAAATAATGGTATATTACATTTCCATTATATTAGTCATATCAAATTTAAATAAAATATCAATTTATTTTCTAATTAATTTTATATCTATGTATTTATT